GGGTAGAAGAAATAAGAGACATCAGAAATAGCACCAGGAATCTTTTAACCTGAGTGATTAGAAGTAAGTTATGCTTGACTGAGATGGGAAAGAAAGGCGTTTTAGACAGAAAGGAATAGCATAGGTTTGGATTTGGACACATGAAGTTTCCATCCAACTGGAAAGATCAGACGAGGATTCAGACATGGAACCCATGAAGATACAATTTGGACATAATAATATACATGGTAAGGCCAGAAGACTAGATGACTTAAATGAGGGAGAAATGTAGAGAAGAAAAATTAGCCCAATAACTGAGCTCTGAGGATTCAATATATAAAGGTCAGGAGGATGAAAAAAGCCAAAAAAGAAACCGAACAGAAAACAGCTGATGAAGTAGGAAAAAAACCAAAGAATGTTGACCTTAAAACCAAGCAATGGGCTTGGCGCCTGTGGCTCAAGCGGCTAAGGCGCCAGCCACGTACACCTAAGGTGGCGAGTTCGAATCCCCAGCCCGGGCCCGCCAAACAACAATGATGGCTGCAACCAAAAAAAAAATAGCTGGGCGTTGTGGCGGGCGCCTGTGGTCCCAGCTACTTGGGAGGTGGAGGCAGGAGACTCGCTTGAGCCCAGGAGTTGGAGGTTGCTGTGAGCGTGATGCCAGATGCCATGGCACTCTACCCAGGGGGATAGCTTGAGGTTCTGTCTCAAAAAAAAAACAAAAAAAAAAAACCAAGCAATGAAAATGTCTTAAGTGAAAAATGTGATCATCGTGGCTCACAAAAGCCATGAGACTCACTAGGAAACTCTTACTAGAGAGGTAATAACTACCTTTGTGGTATCACTAAAGATGGACATAAGCTGATGGTCCCCTAACACGCTGCTGAATTTTATGGATTTTCTAAACTTGATGTTTCTGGAGCACTCTCTTTCCATTTAGAAATCCTCAGAAACGAAACATCTCACTAGTAAAGACTTCGGCAATTAAGACAAACCATAGATTAGTTTTACAAAGTACAAGCTCTTGCATAGAAATATAATCCAATTTGGCCATTATCTAATTAGTTCTAGTGTTTCTCTGCGGGTATGTGGATGCAAAGTCTTTTCATACCCAACTGAATTTGATTATTCTAAATGTCTGCATGAAATTAAATGGGTAGTTCACAAGCTGTTAAAAAAAAAAAACTATAATAACTGGCCCAGACCCAACCTGACTGCCAGAGCCATCCTGAATTTTGGTAACCGGTAAAATGTTCCTTAGATCTCTAAGTCCCACCACTTGAACCCACACAGGCCCACTCACTGCAGGCTTTGCAGGAGGCAGCTCTGCTGCCTCAGGACTTCACAGAGCATCATGACGCCCAGGTCACCCAGGTCATTGTTGCCCAGGCTCAGCTTCCGTAGCCTCTGGTTAGAGGTCAAAAGCGTGGAAAGATCCCAGCAGCAGTGTGAGGTAAGACTGCAGTTTTCTAATCTGCAAAAAAGAGGATGATTTAAAAAAAAACATGTCCTTAACCATCCTTCCAGGTCCCCAAGATCTTATCTGTATTGTTCCAAATGCATTTTAAAGAAAAGGCAAACCCTAAAATGAACTTGCTGGAAGCAATCTTGAATGCCAATAGTAATTCTCTCCTTTCTCAGATGCGACCATCTTTTCAACCTGCTAGATTGTGCAGGATCAAATTACTAATGGTGGTTTGTGGACTGATTTTTCCCAAATTCTGTATCTTCCACTAAATTTCCATAAATGCAAAGGCCATACTGCCCCCACTCATTTGCGGTACAGAGGACTGTGTCAAAGGGAGACAGATTTCTACCTGTACACCATTTAGAACTCCTCCCAGTCTCAAGAGCCTGTAATAGGCTAAGAAGATGCCTCACTTCTCAGATACAGATAATCTCGCAGCTATTCCCCCAAATTTCCCTTTGTCACTATGTGCTCCCATCACTGTAATAAACCAAGAGACTTACTCCAAGACCTGAAGCTTGCAGTTGGGATGCAAGAGCCCCTCACAGAGCAGCTTGACCCCCATGTCTCCAAGAGTGTTGCCTCGTAGGTAAAGGTGTGTGAAGTTCGGATTACTGCTGAGCACCGAGGACAAAGCTGTACAACAAACTGATGAAAGGCCAGAATTCACCAACCTGCAAAAGGAACAGGAAGAAGAGTCCTCATTGTCTTATTTCAGTAGCTATATGCTTCAATGTCAGGGTCAGGGTCAGGGGCCAGTATCTTGGATATACGCTGAGAAAAGCACAATGCCTTTGCTCTGGTTCCCACTGAAAAGCCAAACATTGGGCTCAGCAGACATTTTGCTGGGATCAGTACAATAGAAAGAGCAAAAGCAAACTGATCCAGATCCCCACCAGCTGATCCAGACTCCCACCCATGCTCTCCTACCTTCTGACATAGCGTCCTTCTGGTAGTGATAGCTCCTTAGCATTACTTCTTCCAGAAAGCCACCCAAGTTGCCCAACACTGCAGAGACCTGTTTTATATGATTCTTGTATCAACCTGGCAAGGTGGCAGTGCAGCTGTAACTATTCCATACCTTTTACAGATTAGAAATTTGAGCCTCATGAGATCACCTGTTTCTCTCCGGGTCAAAGAGCAGGTGTATGGTGGAGAGGGGACCCAGACTTAGACTTTCTACCTTCTAGTCTAACCCTCTCTCTATTGAGTTTTCTGCCCAGCTCGCTCTCCCTTCTGCATGGAGAAAGGCCTTTTAGAGCATAAAGGCCCCAGATTAGCATTAAACTCAATAGAATGTGGATTTTTAATATACTATTCTTGGGTCAAGCTAACCCTATGCTATTGCCCAAAAAAGCAAGAGGACTTTGATACAGAAAGGTCTGTTACTCCTGCATAAAAGCTCAAGGTGATACATGTTGTACAAATAGCCACATATATTAAACATTCGGGAAAGCTTTGACTTCAGAACATCTCAGGGGATTACATTCCTTCCTGGTAGAGGTCTTTATAATGGTAGGTTTTTAAAACTCTTTGGTATCTAAGTATTCAGAAGAATAAAAATGCAGGAGGAATTCATTCAAACAGTGTAGCATGAACAGATAGCCAGAAGGAAAAAGAAGTATTTAACCATCCATTGGTCTCCATCTTCTCAGTCATGGATGAATCAAATTAAAAAGGTAGATTAAGCAAGGCTAAGCGGGAAATGAAGCCCAAGAGGGATGAACAAAACAAAGCAAGTTCTGAGTGGTTTCTGCTAAGCTCTCATTCCCAGGTAAGAATTCTATCAGAGGCCAATGCATGGCTCATGCTTGAAATCCTAGCACTCTGGGAGGCTGCGGTGGGTAGATTGCTTGAGTGCATGAGTTTGAGACCAGCCTGAACAAGAGCGAGACTCCATCTCTACCAAAAGCAGAAAAATTAGCCAGATGTTGTGGTAGGCACCTATAGTCCCAGCTACTTGGGGGCTGAGGCAAGAAGATCACTTGAGCCCAAGAATTTGAGGGTGCTGTGAGCTATGACGTCACAGAACTCTACCAAGGGCAACAAAGTGAGACTCTGTCTCAAATTAATTAGTTAATTAAAAATTTAAAAAATAAAAATAAAAGAATTCTATCAGAGAGTCCTTAATGAACACGCAGAAGGGATTTGTAAAGACCAGAAAATTCTAGTAGACTGGAGTCAAAGAAAAAGAAAAAGAATTTTTAAGGTTAGGTAGTGGCTTTATCACAATTTCCAGAAAAGGGGTAAAATGAATTATTTGGCAGAATGTTATGGAACACCTCAAAGTGACGTGGCAGCAGTTACAAACATACAGTGCAGTTTTGTTAAGAAAAATCATACACAAATTATCAAAATGTTGGTAGCCATGAAGACTGAGCATTAAGTTCACTGAATACATGATAAAGTATCGAGAAAGTCAAACAACCATGTCCCACCAATCAATCCACTGGAGTAGAAAAATGCAACCAATGCAACATACTTTGGCTTCAACCAATCCTTTACTGAGCACATCTATCTTGCCAAATACTGCATTAAGTTAATTTAGAGGAGTTTTAAAATTTATTCAGTGCCTACCTTATGTCACAAAGAAATATCTCATAATGAAAACTGAAGAAGAAAAACTCAGGAGTTTGAGACAGCCTGAACAAGAGTCTATTCAAAAACTCTTTTTTGAGTTTTTACTATGTGCTCAACCATTGGATGACTTTACACAGGATTATCAGCTGAATGCAGTGGTTCATGCTCTTAATCCCAGTATTCTGGGAGGCTGAGCTAGGAGGATCACTTGAACTCAAGAGTTGGAGACAAGCCTGAGCAACATAGCAACACCCTGGCTCTACAAAAAGTATAAACATTAGCCAGTTATGGTTGCCCACACGTGTAGTCTCAGCTACTCAGGAGGCAGAGGCAGGAGGATTGCATAAGGCATATGCCCAGGAGTTTGAGGTTGCAGTGAGCTATCATAATGCCACTGCACTTTAGCTGGGACAACAGACACAAGAAAGGAGAGAGAGTGAGAGGAAAGGGACTATCTTAGCATTGAATTATTACAAACCCCAAAACACTGAGTGTTATTTTTATCCTCGTTTGAAATTGAAAAACTGAGGATCAGAGTGATTACTTGAAGAGTAAGTAGGAGCTACTTGGATAAACAGTAGAAAATGGGGACTGGGGGTTGTAACTTATCCTCTAGGCAAAAAGAAAAGAGTATGTAAGGGCAAGAAAGATTAAAAGAGCAAGCCAGGTTCTTAAAACCAAAACCTAATTCAATCTGACTCCAAACAGAGTGCAGAGCATGGCAGGAGACAGGGCAGGGTCAAGGATAACCTTCGTGGCAGACTAAGCTGTGCCAGATTCACTCGGACTTCAGAGAAGAGCTTTTGAAGGATTTTGAACAAAGGCTCAATATTTCCAAAATCTGCGTTTTGTGAAGTTCCCTCTGGTGTTATGTAAAAAAGATGAGAGGAGGAGGAAACTGAAAGTAAAGAGAATTTAGGATTGCCTTGGCTGGGCAGCCTCCTGGAAAGTCCCACTATTCAACAAGGCAAGAAAAAGAGGGCAAGAGCAGGTCAGAGGATGAGGTAGGAGGGGAGATTTTGACAATTAAACCAATTTTGCAAATGTTCAGTGTGGGATGTTTGTGTAATATTGAGGAGGGGGAACAAAATATGCAGCCAGAGATAAGGGCCTGAAGTTCAAGAAAAGAACATTGGCTAGGCCTAAAAAAAAATTTTTTTTTTTTGGTTCTTTGATAATTTTATTTATTTATTTATTTATTTCAAATTAATATGGGGGTATAAATTTTAAGGTTACACTGTTCTTGCTTCCAAGGTAAAGTTCAAGTTGTAGTTGAGCCCTTTACCCAGGGGGTGTGTTGTGCAGCCCCCCTTTGTGCACATCAGGTGAAATCCTGACAATTGTCCTCCTTCTTCCAGAAATTGCCCAAAAGTTTTGACTCTTTTTTTTTGTTATTTTTTTAGAGACAGGGTCTTGCTTTGTCCCCCTGGGTAGAGTACAGTGGCATCATCATAGCTCATTGTAACCTCTAATTCCTGTACTCAAGTCATCTTCCTTCCACAGCCTCTCAAGTAGCTGGGACTACAGGTACATAACACCACACCTGGCTAATTTCTTTCTATTTTTGGTAGGGACAGGGTCCCACTCTTGCTTAGGCTAAGTTTTGACTCATTAATTCCTTTAACAGGTAGCTATCTCAAAAAAGTACACATACATAAAATTATATACAGAAATTGTTTCATACTTTACAGAGCTGTTTGTAATAGAGAAAGAATAGAAACTCGATCCCAAATTCATTATTTGATAAGTGGCCAAATAAATTATGGTAATGCAGCCAGGTACAGTGGCTCATGCCTATAATCCTAGCACTTTGAGAGGCTGAAGCAGGAAGATCACTTCAGGCCAGGAGTTTGAAACTAGCCTGGGCAATATATTGAGACTTTGTCTCCATAAAAATAAGAAAAATTAGCCAGGTCTGGTGGTACATTCCTATGTCCCACCTCCTCAGGAGGCCAAGCCAAGAGGATTGCTTGAGCCTGGGAGTTGGAGACTGCAGTGAGCTTTGATCATGCCATTGTACTCTGGTGGGGACAACAGAGCAAGAGCCTAGCAAAATAGGTCATTTAAAATATCACATAAAGTGTATTCAAATGGATAGATGGATGAATGGGTGGAGAGACAGGTGGATGGATGGTATAGCAATCCATCTTATAACAAATGTCCAGATGGTTGTTCACAAGACTATTGTAAATGACTCTCAGACACGGGCTAGGAAAGAGCTTCCACTTTTTACTTCAACTTTGTCTGTCTATATAACGGTATGTTTGCACTAAGCATGTGTTAACTTTTGTAATGAAAAGTTCATGAGCAATATTTGGGTTTGAGCGAGCCCAGATATTTGGGGAACCCTCTGTTTGTAGATCGCTCACTGTTGAAGCTGAGGGCTATATGAGAGATCCTAGAGAATGTGAAAATACTTAGTGGAAAAAAAAAACCAGTAGTGAAATCCCCAGACCAGAGGAAGAGAAGCTCATGCCGATTCCAGGGAAGGGGAAACCGTAACATTAGCAGGAAGGACAGAGCGGTGACCTAAAAACAAGAGGGAAGAAGGCATTCAAAGAGGAAGTGAGAGGTGAATGTCCACTAAGGTAAGTACCTGGAAGGATCTGTAAGAATTGGAACCAAGATCACTGAGGTTCAACTGAGTGGCCATGCCCTAGGCTTTGCCTGGAGTGCTCTTCCCTGGTTCCTTCCTGGCTCATGATCATACCTCATTTAGGACCTGCTCCAATGTCACCTGCCATTCACTGAGGCTGAGCAAGGAAGCAGAAATTTCTATACCGTACATTGCATATGACATAAACTGTATGTCATCCCCTCCCTATAGGGAATGAATGTGCGTGAAAACGGGGTCTTGATCTGTCCTACCACTGCTACTGTCAGAGCCCACATTAGAGCCCCCAGAGTGCCTGCAAAATAAAGGGGCCAAATCATGTCTGTTGAATAAACCAAGAGTAGCAGAAGCCAAATCATGCAGCTTTTTCCCAGATAGATATGGTAATTTCTGGGAATGGGCTGATGGAACAAATCCCAGGAAGCAGCAGTGTTTTGTGAACGTATGTTGGTTGCCAATTACGGATTAAAAGATTTCTCCTCAGGGAAGACTCTTTCTGTTGTATCTTGTCTTGAATAATGATCTGTTTGGTATTTACATCAGTGATGTGGAATCATTTAGTTGTAAATAATACTGACACAGAATCAAGATTCAAACATGCCTTGACAACAAGTTAAAAGAGAGGTAAGATGAGGCTCAGCATTTGTAGCACAGTGGATTCGGCACCAGCCACATGCACTGAGAGTGGCAGGTTCGAACCCGGCCAGCTAAAACAACAATGACAACTGCAACAAGAAAATAGCCAGGTGAGAAAATAGCCGGGTGTTGTGGCAGGTGCCAGTAG